TTCATGCATTTTTTATTCCATGATTTACAAAGCAACTATTCGCTTCTGGCTGACCATAAATATGGCTGACATTTTTCAGGGTAAAAAAAAGTAAAATGCAAGATCAAGCAAGCAACTATAAATTTAATTTACTATTTTAAAATGCTTTTGTGAAAAATTTTAAGCCCTTCTCCTTGCGCCTGTGTGCAAGGTGAACTTTTTCTGCTTCATGCATTTCAAAGTAGATACCTAAAATTGGACAGCACTATATTCAACTATTCACTGTTTTTATACCTGACATTAATGATGGTTGGCAAAAAAAAAAAAAGATCCAACGATTTTTGACTGAATTCAGATGGTAGGTTATTAAGATGTCCTTTCATTTAGGAACATGATCAGATTCCAAATACAATTTCCAAAATAATTGCTTATGGACATAAATAATAAAATAATGGGTATTCATTATCTATCCAACAAAGCACAATAGTATTACATTTTAAACTCTGGTATTCTGGTACATTATAAATAAAACTCACTTCTTCGTTGAGATAATTTTCTATATTCTTTCTTCAACCCTTTATATCGGTAATGCATGGGTGTGCATGCATGTGTATGTATATGTATACACACAGAGACAAATAGACACACACACACACACACACACACACACACAAGGCATTCACCTTATTGCATTTAAATAGGTTTGGATTTCATTTTAAAATCCTGCAGCATTTGTTTGATAGGAAATGCTAGCCAGATAAAATAAAACATGGTGCCTTGAGATGCATTGGACTACAATATCTTTTATCTCTAGCCACCATGGATTTCTATGGAGTGATGGGACTTGTAATCTAGTGCATTTGAAAGGCAGCAGGTTGGAAGAACCAGTATCTGTGGCTTCAAAATATACTTCTGGCACCCTGAAATATCACTTACCTCCACATTTAATGGTTCAAATTTCATTGCTGCTTTGAAGTTGGTTTGGAAGGATGGGGGGGTTGATTGTTTTGTGTTTTGCTGATTTTGTACTTGACTTCTCCTTAAGGTCTGAGAATAAAACAGTGGCTTTAATGTTTCCTACATCACTTTGGTTTACTTTTCCAGATGCAAGATTCTTAAGGAGCACAGTTGAGGTTGCAGGATACCGGAAAGGAAGATTTTGCATTCAGGAGCTAAAGGGAGAAGAAAAAACTCCAAACAATTGAAGCTGTGAATGGTCTGAGATGGCTGCTAAACTCTGTCTGATGAGACAATACACAGCTTCCCTGGGGGGACAACTTGGCCCATCAAGTCCACTCTATTTGCAGTTTTATGGGGGGGGGATCACTCTGTTTACATAGGTCCAGACAGGCCTTCCTGGTGGTGATTGGGATGTCTGCAAGGATTTCCTGACCTAACCTCCAAAACAAATTGGTGATGAAAACAAACAGGTGATTGTGAAATCTACTGTAGATCAAAACTGCAGGAATATCTTTGACTGGCAGGGCAGTTTCCCAGGCTCTCCTTATATGACAGGTAGTAGGTGCAGCTTTGTTAATTGTGGTACTTAATAACCCTTGAAATAATCCATTTCTGCAATAAAAGGGAATATTTCATTTGGACAATTTCTGCTTGATATGTAGGTCTCTGCATCATCCTCTGGTGTGTGTGTGTGTGTGTATGCGTGTGTACACACACACATTTGTTTCTGTGTGTAAATGCTTCCCAAGTGTGCTTTGAACTCAGAAGGAAACTGGACACATCAAATTCCAAGAAACATTAATAACTTTTAAACAGAAAAAAAGGGGGGGGGGCATTGTTACATATGACTGAGAAATTATTATTCAAAATGTTTAAAAACAAGGATAATCTCTTTACTGGTTTGCCAATGTGATCTATAAAAATATACCTTTTTAATGAACAAGGTAGGACACTGTAAAAATGTTTCAAAATTTTTACCAGTTTATCAGAGTCAGACAACACATACACAAACAACAGAAATGACATTTTCTTCCTGTTGCTTTCGGTCAAGCCCACTCAGTCCCTCTGAAACTTTGGATGTCCTCCCCCTCAAAATTGTAAAGAAAATGAAATGTAATTTTTATCCTGGCTACATCTATAATATGTCAGAATATGGATCCAGCATACTCCTCAAAGGGCAAGGTCATCCTAGAACAAACAAATAAACATATCAGCGCAGCTCTATATTCTTTGGAAATGAGGATTTTTCAGAATTAATGCAGGAGTGAAAGAAGAAAAGCTATATATTTCTTTTAAGCTGCAAAAAGTCAGATTACCCTAGATGTAAGCATTCTCTTCCTCTGATTGGTAAATATCTATGTATGTATGTATGTATGTATGTATGTATATGCATGTATGTGTGTATGTATATGTATGTGTGTATATGTATGTATACACACAAAAACAACAATAGGATACTTTGGTTTTCTGGAGATCAGTAAAAAAAGTTAGTAAAGAGTTATTTAGATAATCTCATTTATTTCTGCTGAAATTGAATGCTATTAATACAGGCTTCAGTACCATGCTTCTTTTTTTAATAAAAATGAAATTATTACTGAGAATTATTGAATGGAAGAAAAAATATTTTACTGAACTGAATTTAGCTTGGAAATGGGTTTTGCAATGTTATTGACTAATCTAGAAGAAAGAAAAAATAAAACAGTATATGTAAAGAGTAGTTTTATCATATTTCTCAGTAATACAAATCATCTCATTTAGATTTGTTTTGTGAGATTTTGAGTGTAAGGCTTTTCACCTAAATATATTCCAAACTTTAAAGAAAGTGTTTTGAAATTCTTTACAACTGCACAAATTGACTTGATCTGAAATAAGTTTTGCAACTTGGCACTGAGGCACGTCTAACCAAATCTTTGGCAATACATATAATGTACCTACAATAAGTTGTTTTGCATCTCTCCTTTCCCCAAACACCTGAATCCACCTTCTGTAATTATGATTGTTGATAAAAATTAAAGTGGCATGGACACTGAAAATGTTCATTTAAAAAGTACTTATCACCACTTATTGCTTCAACTACTTCTAGATTGACTATTTTAAAAACTATGCAAAAGCAAGATCCTCAAAAAGAGATGTTTTTTTAAAAAGATCTATATCCTTCACATTAAAGCACTGAATTCTTTTTAAATGGGACCAATCCAAGCATTATCAAATTAATCTTTTTAGTATGTCTTTGATCTGACTTCCTTCAGAAGTGATGGAAAATATCAAGTGGATTTCCTGGGTTAGTCTTAACCCCCTCCCCCTCCTTTTAAATTGAAAGATAATTGGTAGCAATCTACTTGATTATTACTTGATTTTAGGCAAGGAAAAAAAGCTGAGCAAGCTATTCTATGAGTTGAAAGCTGATTTGCAGCTTCTTGTGTTGGATTTCTTGCGGACAGGCAATAGGCACTAAATGTCAGAACAACCTTGTGCCTAGGTCATGCTCTCTGTACACATTTGTGCCCAGGCCAGGCTATCATTAGTGAGCATCCGTATATGCTTATATACCACAAGTGTGCAACAGTTTCAGGATAAGGACCCATTTGGCCTTTAAACATTATTCTGAAGGCTGCATTTTAACAATTGGAAAGGGTAAACTGAAATTAAAATATACTTATTAAAGCGATTGATAGCCACATGTTTAATCTCTTTTCCTTTCATCCCTCTAAGAGTACAGTTCAGAAACAGTGTTTGGATAGGTTCTGTGAAAGGGTGGAACTTACAGCTGAGGGCTTCCCACAGAATCTCCTTTATGATCATTGTACTGTGTGTACATCTTGTCCCTTTCTTTACATCCACTTGAGAGCTTTCATTTTAGAATAATGTAAGACTGAATGAGAAAGCAGTGTGGAAAGTTTCTGGATTCTGACTTTTGAATAAGAGTGTAGTGTGAAGGCCTGTCCAGGTTCTTGATGCGATATTGCAAACGCTTGTGAAAGAATGGAATGTGTGGGGATTAGACAGAGCAGGGACAAGGAAAATTTTCAGGTTCAAATCCTCATTCAGCAAGCAAACCAATCAAGGACAACAAGGTCTTTCCAATCTGCCAAGCTTGATGTTGATGTTGAAATGGAGATTGAGGAGAAATCATCTAAGGTGGTGGAAGTCCCATGCTGGTTGGGGAATTCTAAAAGTTGAAGTCCACAGTCGTAAGGTTGCCAAAACTAAGAAATCTCTATTTCATTACTGCTCTTCTCTAGTGCATTAGAGAAAACGTGAATTAAAATGTAATAAATAAACACATTCAGTTGGCATTATACTATTTTTGACTGCAGAGGCAGTCCACAGCAGGACTGTGGAAACAAGCAAAATGGACCCCCCCCTCCCGGTTGGTCGGAAGATGCAGATCAATTTTCTGCCGCTCGCGATGGAAACGGGGACCGGCGGGCTGAGGGGACCCGACCACATCCATTCAAGTAATAGCGCCGCTCGTCGTTGGAAGGGAAAGGCAGAGCCGGAGGGGCGGGACTTAAAAACTCTCCCCAGCCAATGGAAGAGAAGCCGTTTGTCTTTCTTTTAATAGGAGGCAGATCGAGAGCGCAGTTTTCGGAGGCAAAGAGGATGGATTGGCGAAGTAGCGAAGAAGTGATTAGTGCAGGAAAAGCTCCGCCGAGTCTTCAGAAAAGTCCTAAGGAAGAAATCCGGCGCGACCAACTGTGATCTTGACTCTGCCGTTGCCACTATCAACCGGATCTTGACATACGCGCAGCAAAGTCGCGAAAGTTTTCTCGCTCTCTCCACACTCCCGTTAACGATACCGGAGCAAGTCGGGATTTTAAGAAGACGCAGCCGTGAAATTGACTAACTGGCCCCGTTGACCAGGAAAGTGTTTAAGCGTGCGCTGACGCGTCTTTTCCAGTCTGGAGGAAACTCTAAGCGCTCCAGCGCTTCCTCAGGACTTTCTGCTTTCCGCCCTCTCCATCTCAAAACTTCGTTTTGCTCTCCACTCCCCCTTCTTTCCGCCGCTCTACCTGCCGCCGCTCCGAGCCGCGAATCTGTCCCGTGAGTCTTTTTCTTCAATGGGCGCCTTGGATTCAATCACCGGAGGACCTGCCAATCCGACCGCCGCTGCCCTTACGATGCTGAACGGGGCAGAGAGCCAAAACTTTGTCAAGGAGCCTCCGGACCTCCAGGGAACCACGACCAAAGACTCGGGCGGTGGGGGCGAGCTGAAAATGGGAGCCCCCCAGGACCGCTTCTACTACCCTGATCCCCCCTTGCAGGAAGGCAGCTGTAACTTAGGGCTGACCTACGGAGGCCCGATGGTGCAAAGCGCTTTTGCGGGGAGCGACCCGGCCTCTTCGGCCAGGTTTTTGGGGCCGGCAGCGAACAACTGCTCTTCCTACCGAGGTCAGCCTCCCCCGCCTATCCCAGCGTCAACTGGCCCCGCCGGGAATCCTAGCTTCTCGGTCTCAGCTGGCGAGCTCTATCCCAGCGCCGGAGATCTGTATGCTAGCGCGCCCGCCGGAGAAGGCTGCTACTCGACGGCGGTCCAGCACGTGTTCCCGCGGGCTCCTCTCTATCCCGTGCCGGGCTATCAGGTCTCCGGAAAGATCCAGATGGTCCTCAACAACTATCCACTCTGGGCCAAGTTCCACAAGCATCAGACGGAAATGATCATTACCAAGCAGGGCAGGTGAGCCACGCGAGGAGACGCCACGACAACACGGCTGGCTGGCTGGGGCTGGGCTGCGGGGAACGGGAGGGGGAAGGCAGAGGGGGTTACCTGGGGTTTCGAGAAGGGGGCAAGTGGGGCTCCCTCCGCGAAGGAGGAGAAGGGGGGAGAGGAAGACCCGTGCTCTTTTTTCCTCGTTTGCTGAGAACTCCAATCCCAGACGGAAGTCGAGCCGGGATGGGGAAAATCTTGTCTCTTACAGGCACCAGCTGTCTGTGCGTGCGCTTGGCTGCAAAAAACAGGTGGTTGGCTTGGCAGTTTCTCTGTAGGGCTCACCGGGCAGGGACCCCAAGGACGAGGATAGCGATCCTGATAATTTGTCCAGATTTTTGTAGCCGAGGGAGGACCAATCGGACAGTCCAGCTGGCTTATTTCAGAGAAGGAGAAAGGAAGAGAGCATTAAGATAAACATTTAAATATTTCAGGGATGAAATCCCTTCCCATTTGCAGGATCCCATCAGTTTAGACTCTTATCATTCTGGAAGAATCTGTGCTTCTTGTAGAAACTTTTCCTAAACCTTGGTAATATGGGAAAGTTATTTTCCAGTAACCTGATGCCTTCCAGGTAGATGATCAGCAACTTTATATATATTCTTCAACCACTACCCCCATGAAAACATATATATCCAGGATTAATTTGCAATATTTTATTATAAACATTGCTAACAAGTTTTTGGAAGGCAAATCTGATGTGTCTCATCCGCTGTCTAGCACTATGCAGGAAAGGTTGAAAGATGTGACTGCTCTCCTGGGACCCCAAATAGTTTTGTAGCCCCAAGTAATAACTTACACTGGTTTGTTATTATTTCTGTTTAATAACAGAGTAACTAAGGCAAGAAAGCTTGTAACTTTTATTTATTTATTTTTATCTTAAGAAGCAATAGTATAATGGAAATTGAAAAGGGGGACAGAAAAAACATGTTGGTGCTTAGGAGAATATGGTTTTTGTTCCATGGCTTAGGTTTTTTATTTTTATAAGAAGCATGAAATGAATTTCAATATTTTTCCCTCATCAGAGCTTCCCAAAGTGAAAAATAGTATAAAAGCTATGCTATTAAAAAAAGCATGTAGACTATGCCTGAACAAAGTATCTCTGTGTGTGTGTGTGTGTGTTTTGTTTTTTTTAAACAGTTCTCTTTTGTTTTCTATGGGATATAATTTTTAAAATCAATTTCAACTAGTACTTTAATCAACTGAAGGTTTAATTAAATATTGTTGATAGTTTAATTCCTAGTTACAGATTCCTTTCTCTCCATTTCAGGGTATTTATATGCTAGTTAAAAAAAGAAAGCTTTAGCTGATTAATCAGTGAGACCAATTTTAATGAGTGTCACTAAGAGTTAGAGGCACATCTGTTTATGTTTGTTTTCATGAGGCTATTTTAATTCTGGTATGCTACTGTAAGAGGGAATTAAAATGAGATTAAAAATGAAATGTGGATTTATAGAGATATTATTAAAGATGCCCTTATCTTACAGATCCACTTATTTTAATTGGTGCTCTTATTTCTTAATTTGAGAATTACCTTATACTTCCTTCAATAACCAAAATGTGCATTAAAAAAGAAATAACATTACTTTGGTATTCCATTGATTATAACTAATTGAAACTGTATCACTATCTAATTATCTGGGGAAAAACACAACTTAATTAAATAAGGTAACTTCTGAACAGAAATATATAGGACCATTTTGTAAATGAACTAACAATGGTCAGATAATAAAAACAAATGTAAACTGGATTAGTCACATAGTCTAGAAAAATGTTCCTGATACCAGCACTGAAATTTCATTAAACCAGAAAATTTGGGTGTGTTGAGTACTGGATTCTCCACATAAGTATAAGAAAAAAGAAGAAATATCAGGATGTCTTACAAGTTTCTAACATGTAGCAGAAAGAACACCGTAATTATGGAATCACTCATATCAGACATAGCATTGCAAATACAGAGAAAAATCAAAAGTATGAAAAATGCAAAGAACAAATGTCACAATACATTTCTTATAGTTGAGAAGCATTTTATTTTACATGTGGAATCTTAATTAAATTTTGACAGTCATTTTTCTATGGACCACCTTTTTTTGAAATACTACTCAGTTGTCCACAGTTGGATGCAATTATTTATAAGTTGCTTTAAACTACTTTGACCTTAGTAGCTTACAGTTCTTCTGAAAAGCTCAGAACAAGTGATGCAACTTATACTGTGGCTACTTTAAAAAAAACAACTTCAAAGTGATAGAGAAAGGTAGTCTATGAATTGACCAAAAGTTCTTAAATCATCAAATCCTAATTTACACAGTTCTAGTTTCTACATTTTCCCACTTGACACAAAAAGTGTTACAGTTGCTTTCTTGTGGTGTTTGTGGGCACATATTTGTCAAAACACCTTTATAAATCGTGGTTAAACATGCAACTAACCAATGATCTCCCAGCACAGAGCTAGGAAAATATATACTTTTTTTCTCATGTGAATATATCAGCTGGCTTTTCAGTTGGGTCAGAAGAGAGATCAAATTTGATTCTTAAGATATAGCTTGATTCTACAGAGAGCAAGGCCACGTGACAATATAGACAATAAAGAAGCCAAGTATATACTGTATGTTTACTTTATTTGAATTTGATTATGGAGAGACAAAGTTAGTTCAGCCTTCTGATCTGTTTTCTAACAGGTCATAATCTTCGGAATGTCTGAAGTAAGTGCCACATGCCTTGGAGAAGTTGTAGAATATATTTATTTTATCCTGAGGAACTACATAGGGAATGAAGGATGTACTGCCAGAAATCTTTTTCTAGAAATGAAGCTCTTAACATACCCACTTGCTCTCAAATTGTATACAAACATGTCTTGGCATCATTATTTACAGAATGGCAGGGTTGGAAGAGACCCCAAACCATTCCAGACATATGGCTGCCCAATCTTTTCTTTAAAACTTCCGGTGTTGGAGTACCCACAGCTTTTGGAGGCAAGCCATCCCACTGATTAATTGTTGTCATTGTCTCTGTTGTACTTTGACTTCATCTCATCCATCCCCATAACTGAGGCAGACTTAAGTCATCCTAAGTAGTCTCTCCCAGCCTGTTGAAGGTTTGTCTGCCACTTCATTGTGAAGAAGTTAGGCGATTGAAACAGACACACTATAAACAGGGTAAGATTGGAAATGAAGTCAGCATATTCTATACTCCTTGCCAATTCAAATGTGGCTAAATTCTAACTTAGGAACAGGGAAAGGTCTATACTGTACTGTACTGTACTGTACTGTACTGTACTGTACTATACTATACTATACTATACTATACTATACTATACTATACTATACTATACTATACTATACTATACTATAGTGGTTGACTTAGGCAGTAATTTTGGGTGCAGTAGCAAACTCATCCTGTCTATTTATTTATATAATTTTAATATTTAAAATATCAATTTGTATATATTGTTTTTTAACTTTGTTGTATGCCGCCCAGGGTCTTTTGACTGTGAAATGGACAGCTATAAAAATATGTTGTTTGTTTGTCAAATTTAGATAGTTGTCTATCTAACCAGCAAAATTCTGGGCTGTGAACAAAAATAAAAACATGGATCTACTGCAAGGAGATTATTTTCAAGATATATTTTTTTTCTTCTCAATTATATAAGGCTGCCAGATCAAAGCAGCAAAACTCTGACAGACCATTAGAGGGCAGCAAAGAGTTGCCATATTCTGTACTTTCCTCTGGCCAGTGGATGAGGCTTATTCATTTCATTAGTGGAATAGTATTTGTCCTTAAAACAGAATTCCAATCAGAAGATAATTTAGGTGAAATTCTCTCAATTGGTGTCTTGCATTTATTTAATTAAGAGTTGGCAATGGCTTTTCTTGCATTGTCACCCTGCTTCTCATAAGACAATAAATTCCAAGGCAAAGTATGATCATGGAGATTCCTCCCATTGGTTTTTAATTCAAATTGCATGTTTGGGCTCTTGGGGCAGTGGACTTCAGTGATAAAATATGTGCAATAGCAAATAATTATAGCCAACAGAAGTTTCTTCTGCTGACTCAAGAAGGGAAATTCAGAACAAACTTTTAAGGACCATAAACAGAGCAAGTTAAATAAGTAATGCACAGGAAGTGGTGGAAAAAAGGTCAGGCTAAATAAAACATCTGGAATAAGTGCAGATTTTACTGCACTTCTATCGGTCAAAATGCACAGTACTTAAGGACTATCTAGTAATTCTGGTTTCTGAGAAAGGAGCATCTCTTCATAGACCAAACCATCCTGATAACTGCCATCATCATCATGCCTATTGGTTACCCTTTCATGACATTGTGTTTAAATTTTAGAAATTGGAGGTGGAAGAGGAAGGCATTTCCTACACACAAATTCAGTTTGTGCCTGTGTATAAATCAAAGATTACACAGAAGAAAGGCTCTGTATTCTGAATAAACCAGAAAAAGATGTCCCTTTTGAAGCACAGATTTGAGAAGATGTTGGGGAGGAGAAATATGGGGTGGAACATATCAGAATTGTATTGTTATAGTTGCATATTCAGTCAGATATTTGGGCATTTTTATTCACCTTTCCAGTTGTTCTTAAGGACCTGAGAAAGGTAGGTGCTATTCTTTGATGATGTTCAAAGTATTGTAGCATGATGTAAGCTGTTCCAAGTAAATCTGCCTTTTGCAACTGACTGATGGTGATTTTATCAATGCTGATGGTGTCCAAGCGATATTTCATATGTTTTGGAATTGCACCCTATATGACTATTGCTATTGGTATGCTCTGTGCCGTATTTGTCATAATTATTCTGTTTATAACTCTTTGTATTTTGTGATTTTCTCCAATACTTTTGCTTCCATTCTGCTACCTTCAAATATTGCAATATCCGCTATCCATTTTTTTGTCTTTCTCATCAACAGTTGTTAAATCTTGGATGTTGTGTGGCTGTTGCTTGTCTGTTTGAATTCTAAAGTCCAGAA